TACTAAGCTATAATTAGTCTATAGGAAAGCTTATCTGGTTTTATATCACCTCGGGACCTTTCCTTTAATTAAATGAAAGCCGGCCTCATTAATCCAGTGTAACAAAAGTAGCATTGAAATGGCTCCACGTAATTACAGCTGTAGATAAATGACTTCAGCCATCGGACAATGTATCATTCTACTTATCTTATTTCATTATCTTTGCCATTTCTATTTTAATTGTTAATAAAGTACAGCATACCCTCTCATTTACGTTCTTAATTGTTATTCCAAAACTCGTACTTTTAATCCTGTGATTTTTCTTGCAATTTTATCCACTTGTTCCTTATCATGTTAATTACACTCGTAATCTTCTGATTATGACGAAAAGGTACAACCAGGCGGTCAAGCTTTTGCGTCTAGGTTCGTAAACACTATCTAAAGTCATGTCACTGTAAATGCTAATACGCATTTATATGCACATCATGATTCGTGCCTTTTATGGTCGTCCAGGGGTCATTTTACCACTAAAATTTGAATGATCGTTAGACCTTAATATTTGTTTATATTATTTTATAATTTATTTTTGGTGCAAAACTATACACTACATGCCCTGCAGTTTTCTATTCCAGCTGCGAGAAAGTCTTTAAGCGTTTCTAAACATTTTCTTCATGTTGGTAAAAGTATGGATTATGCCCGATCGTCGCCTCTTGATTCACGCACCGCTTCTTTTGTTCATTCGAAGTCACTTGTCTGGACTTTGATTGCATCGTAACCCCCTTTTCTGTTAGACATATTTGTGAAGGCCTCGCAAAATGCATAGCTTTCATTAAAACTGAATATTAGATGGCCGAACACGGTATGGTTGTATTTCATATTGTTGTTATTGGTTCGTCCCGACGGTGTTGGACGCCTTCATTGCCGTTAAATAGGCAATCACAACAGTTCACACTGTACTTTTGGAAATCTTAAATAAATGTATATTTTTTATTTTATTAGAATCAAAATAGTTAACTTTATCGATATTTCAGTAGTGTCTTGACACTAAGTCAAAAACGGTATTCAAAGCCAAGAAGAACACTGCGATGGAACAGGTATAGCGTAGCTGTCCCTGCTTAATGAAGGTTCATATCTGGACATTTATCTGTACGTAGTGACGCACGAATATCGTTGTCTATGAGTAGAATTTTGTCCGTTGGACGAAAAATATCTGTCAAGATTCGTTTCATGAAAGTTAAAGTTAGTTTCCAATACAAAAGCATATGAGCTCCTCTACACCGGATTTAAACTAAACAAGTGTATATTCCAATCCTGTTCTAAAATGTTCACTTCGTTTGCGGCGGAAATGTAAAGTAATAGTCTGAGAATGTGTACTTTGTTAAGACTACATTGATGCCGCTTACTTATTGTAGTACTGTTTAAGCTATTTATGCTTCGTTAACTGTTCAGATCAAACACAAATGTTGCAGGCCGTCGATCGTAAAATATAATCATAACTCGGTCTAAGTTTCACAAATTACATTGACACTTGGTATGTTGGTGTAATAGTCATATCATAGGCGGCATAGGACGAGTAGTTAGCGCCTGATCAGGCAGCTCGTGCGAATTCCTCAATATTGTATTAATTAATATATACGCTAATTGTATTGACTGTATAAAATTGTATATGTATGTACTGTGAAGCGCTTTAGAGTGGCTCATATTAGCTAGAGAGGGCGCTATAGTAAATGTTGTATATATATTTAGGCATGTATCTTCTGATGTTGCTTACCCTTTGTGCTTGAAATGCTTATTATCACTTTTAGTACACCTTTTAAGTGAGAACGATTATTATACCTGATTATTATACCTGATTATTATACCTGATTATTATACCTGATTATTATACCTGATTATTATACCTGATTATTATACCTGATTATTATACCTGATTATTATACCTGATCATTATACCTGATTATTATACCTGATTATTATACCTGATTATTATACCTGATCATTATACCTGATCATTATACCTGATCATTATACCCGATTACTATACCTGATTATTATACCTGATTATTATACCTGATTATTATACCTGATTATTATACCTGATCATTATACCTGATTATTATACCTGATTATTATACCTGATTATTATACCTGATCATTATACCTGATCATTATACCTGATCATTATACCCGATTACTATACCTGATTATTATACCTGATTATTATACCTGATTATTATACCTGATTATTATACCTGATCATTATACCTGATTATTATACCTGATTATTATACCTGATTATTATACCTGATCATTATACCTGATCATTATACCTGATCATTATACCCGATTACTATACCTGATTATTATACCTGATTATTATACCTGATTATTATACCTGATCATTATACCCGATCATTATACCTGATCATTATACCCGATTACTATACCTGATTATTATACCCGATAATTATACCTGATTATTATACCTGATTGTTATACCCGATTATCATACCTGATTATCATACCTGATTATTATATCCGATTATTATACCTGATTATTATACCCGATTATTATACCTGATTATTATACCTGATCATTACACCCGATTATTATACCTGATGATTTTACCTGATTATTATACCCGATTATTATACCTGATCATTATACCTGATTATTATACCTGATCATCATACCTGATTATTATACCTTATTATTATACCTGATCATTATACCTGATTGTTATACCTGATTATTATACCTGATCAGCATACCTGATTGTTACACCTGATTATTATACCTGATCATTATACCTGATTATTATACCTGATCAAAGATACCTGATTATTATACCTGATTATCATACCTGATTATTATACCTGATTATTATACCTGATTGTTATACCTGATCATCATACCTGATGATTATACCTGATTATTATACCTGATTATTATACCTGATTGTTGTACCTTATTATTATACCTGATTGTTATACATGATTATTATACCTAATTATTATACCTGATCATTATACCCGATTATTATACCTGATTATTATACCCGATGATTATACCTGATTGTTATACCTGATTATTATACCTGATTGTTATACCTGATTGTTATACCTGATTGTTATACCTGATTATTATACCTGATCATAATACCTGATTGTTATACCTGATTATTATACCTGATTGTTATACCTTATTATTATACCTGATTGTTATACCTGATTGTTGTACCTTATTATTATACCTGATTGTTATACATGATTATTATACCTAATTATTATACCTGATCATTATACCCGATTATTATACCTGATTATTATACCCGATGATTATACCTGATTGTTATACCTGATTATTATGCCTGATTATTATACCTGATTATTATACCTGATCATTATACCTGATTATTATACCTGTTCATCATACCTGATTGTTATACCTGAATATCATACCTGATTGTTATACCATATCATTATACCTGATTGTTATACCTGATCATCATACCTGATGATTATACCTGATCATTATACCTGATTATTATACCTGATTGTTATACCTGATTATTATACCTGATCATTATACCCGATTATTATACCTGATCACTATACCTGATTTGTTATACCTGATTTGTCATACCTGATCATTATACCTGATCATTATACCTGATCATTATACCTGATTTGTTATACCTGATTTGTTATACCTGATCATTATACCTGATGATTATACCTGATCATTATACCTGATGATTATACCTTATCATTATACCCGATTATTATACCTGATCATTATACCTGATTTGTTATACCTGATCATTATAGCTGATTTGTTATACCTGATCATTATACCTGATTTGTTATACCTGATCATTATACCTGATGATTATACCTGATCATTATACCCGATTATTATACCTGATCATCATACCTGATCATTATACCTGATTTGTTATACCTGATCATTATACCTGATGATTATACCTGATCATTATACCCGATTATTATACCTGATTATTATACGTGACTATTATACCTGATAATTATACCTGATCATTGTACATTATACTGACAACGGGCGAACCAGGTGTAAATCAAAAGTCAAATCAAGGTAATGTCATGATCTCACCGCGAGAACTCGGGTAGTGACAAAAACACAAGGCATACTAATGAGCATAATAGTAGACATAGACCTTCATACTACACAGAGAAATAACATAGTAATATCCCTATGGGGTCATGACCATGTATGTATGTATTTATCTGTGATATTTTATTATACTTTTGTTATCATTGTTATCATTGTTATCATTGTTATCAATTCTGTAATTGGACCATTGGGTCTGTTGAATTGAAATAAATAAATAAATGACGGCACACATAGTCTTCATCGACCTGTATCTTTGTAAACCTTGTTTTGTAAGTTTGTCCGACAGTAATCAGAATTTTTCACGAAAGTCATTATATTCGGATCAAGCTCTTGATTACCGAATCAACTTCGACATTTCATTATGTTCAGCCGTTGGCCATGGGGCAAGCGTAGACAAGACCTCAACACTACAAATCAATAACATTGCTGGAAAATGACGTTGGAAACCGTCTCAGCCAGTAGTCGCAGAGAAAATATCTATACAAACGATTTAGGATCATCTTTTGTATTCTGATCACTTTAAAAACAAAACCTGTAAGACCAAGCACCAAGGGGAATGTAGATGAGAAATTCGAGAAAGATCTGTCAGGTACCCCTTAAGAAGTAGCGAAAACAAATTTAACCTACCAGGCATTTCACTCTTCTGATCAATCGCAAAATGAAACATGCACAACAATCACCCAAGGGAAACCTACATCAAAAGCTTGGGAAGGTTCGGACAATTACGTTTTGAAAAATGGCGATAACAAACCTGAATTGTCAAAATTCATCAAAACCAGGTCTGTACATTTGCGTGATTAGGTAATCTGGGTTATCGGGGAGGCCTGTTCCATTTTATATATAACCATCGTGTGACCCTGGTGACGTATAGTGTCACAAGATAACGAACCTAATCTTACATAATTACATTAACAGAACATATGCGCGTGCTAGACACGATATTGACATTGCTATTTTCGTATTTCATTGGTGCAGGAACAAAGTAAGACAAAGATGAAAGGTGTAGCATTAGTATTATTTCTGTTCGTTGGTACTTCTGTCACGTTCCCATCCTATCGTGATAGAATACCAAATGGCAGAAAGGTCCCTAATCCCTGTAAAGGATCTACTGGAAATTGGGAGGGAGTTGGACATAATATATTGATAGGCGGTGGTCCCAGGAACGTTTTCGGAAAGGTAAGTTCTTTGTTCTCACGTCGTCTAAGTTACTTTTGTAATTCGCCAGTCCGACTTGATATGTCAATTTCGCACAATATCTGTTTCAACTCCAAGTCAGCGTCCTGATTGACATTGTTTTTTCTGTCAAATGTTGTTGTCATTATTTTTTCTTATGAAAGGCAAGGTTTTCATCATAATTGTATTACAATTAACACTATATTGAGAAACAGTCTCAGCTAAGTGGCATGGAGTAACTTGGTCCAGCCGGCACAACCTTAATTCATGACAGTTCTGTGTCCAAAGTGCTTCCTTAATTGGAACTGCTTTCAGCCCAGATGAAATGAAAATGTCTTCATTGTTATATACTAACTGATTTTCTAGGCAGTGTTATTTTTGCATTTTTCACGAAGGTTCATCCGCAAATTCAACAATGCATCAAAAATTTCAAGATTAATGTTGTATTTTTTAATTCAAGACCTAAGACAAAGAGCAGCAGTTAAAAAGATTTAGTATTTGATATTGTTGTTCGGCAAATGACACTCTCAAACAGAACGAGAGGCTGAGACATATAAACACTCTCAAACAGAACGAGAGGCTGAGATATATACACACTGTCAAACAGAACGGAGGCTGAGACATGTACACACTCTCAAACAGAACGAGAGGCTGAGACATACACACTCTCAAACAGAACCGGAGGCTGAGACATATATACACTCTCAAACAGAACGAGAGGCTAAGACATATACACACTGTCAAACAGAACGGAGGCTGAGACCTGTACACACCCTCAAACAGAACGAGAGGTTGAGACATATACACACCCTCAAACAGAACGAGAGGTTGAGACATATACACACCCTCAAACAGAACGAGAGGCTGAGATATATACACACTGTCAAACAGAACGGAGGCTGAGACATGTACACACTCTCCAACAGAACGAGAGGCTGAGACATAAACACACACTCTCAAACAGAACGAGAGACTGAGACATATATACACTCTGAAACGGAACGAGAGGCTGATACATATACACACTCTGAAACAGAACGAGAGGCTGATACATATACACACTCTGAAACAGAACGAGAGGCTGAGACATATATAAACACTCTCAAACGGAACGAGAGGCTGAGACATATATAAACACTCTCAAACGGAACGAGAGGCTGAGACATATATATACACTCTCAAACAGAACGAGTGGCTGAGACATATAAACACTCTCAATCAGAACGAGAGGCTGAGACATATAAACACTCCCAAACAGAACGAGAGGCTGAGACATATAAACACTCTCAATCAGAACGAGAGGCTGAGACATATATAAACACTCTCAAACGGAACGAGAGGCTGAGACATATATATACACTCTCAAACAGAACGAGAGGTTGAGACATATACACACTCTCAAACAGAACGAGAGACTGAGACATATATACACTCTGAAACAGAACGAGAGGCTGATACATATACACACTCTCAAACAGAACGAGAGGCTGAGACATATACACACTCTCAAACAGAACGAGAGACTGAGACATATATACACTCTGAAACAGAACGAGAGGCTGATACATATACACACTCTTAAACAGAACGAGAGGCTGAGACATAAACACACACTCTCAAAAAGAACGAGAGGCTGAGACATATACACACTGTCAAACAGAACGAGAGACTGAGACATATAACACTCTCAAACAGAACGAGAGGCTGAGACATATACACACTCTCAAACAGAACGAGAGGCTGAGACATAAACACACACTCTCAAACAGAACGAGAGGCTGAGACATATACACACTGTCAAACAGAACAAGAGGATGCGATATATACACACTGTCAAACAGAACGAGAGGCTGAGACATATACACACTCTCAAACAGAACGAGAGGTTGAGACATATACACACTCTCAAACAGAACGAGAGGCTGAGACATATACACACCCTCAAACAGAACGAGATGCTGAGACATATACACACTCAAACAGAACGAGAGGCTGAGACATATACACACTCTCAAACAGAACGAGAGGCTGAGACATGTACACACTCTCAAACAGAACGAGAGGCTGAGACATACACACTCTCAAACAGAACGAGAGGCTGAGACATATATACACTCTCAAACAGAACGAGAGGCTGAGACATATACACACCCTCAAACAGAACGAGAGGCTGAGACATATACACACGCTCAAACAGAACGAGAGGCTGAGACATGTACACACTCTCAAACAGAACGAAAGGCTGAGACACATACACACTAAACTATGTTCTGAGTACTCTGTTCGTGTCAGTTTTAAGATAAAACTAAGGTCCTCAATGTGACAAGGGTATTTCAAAACAGACACGACGGAGCAACCTGTTTTCGGAAATTCTTCACTGCACGACATTTGATTGCTATATAAAATTGCGAGAACATGTAACACTGCATGAATATACCAGTTTGTGTACAGTCTTCAGGATCAAATTACTTTACACTGCTTCCATCCTTCCTTCCCAAGAAGCGCATTCATGAAAATGTGTTTTCGGGTCCTACGGTCTGGATAGCCGTTACTGTCAATAAATATGCCTCTTTTCACTGTTAGGATTTTGCATCGGCGGACTTCAAGTGGACCCCTGAGTTATGTGGAAAAGATTCGGACTCTGACGGAAAAACCAACGGCCAGGAGTTAGGCGACCCAAACTGTACATGGACCAAGGGTGGGACACCCTCAATGGCTGCTACAGGACACCCAGGTTCGTGTAATATGGTGCTTTACCTACAGTTTTGTTACCACTGCAAAGTTGCTCATCACTTTAATTTCGCGACGTACACAACGAAAATACATGCATACACACAAGGTTTAACAGTTCAGTTTAAAATACGGTCTTATATATAGATAGTTACACATGGAATACAATTATTTTGTATTATCACACATACTGTAAATTATGCATAATTCGTGTTAACTTATCGTAATTGCATAAACTCTTTGATGCGAATTTAAATTCTAAAAATGTGTTGTCATTACAGGAGTGTGTGAACCAATGGACTTAGAAGCGTGTAAAACAGTGAATGCTGAGATACTGTGTCTCTAGAACCATGTTATATAAACGTGTCCACAGTAAACGTTAAACGGCCAATATATAATTTATTCTGTCATTTCGCCAATATCAGTTGGTTGTTGACAAGCTGACACTATCGAGGAGTTGTGTACCGATAAGATCAACTTGTATAACATGTAAGGAAGGTGTATATTTCTCGCGATTAAATGTTCACCAAATGGTTCGGTCACACCGTCTTTAATTGGTCAGATGGTCACTGTACAGTCTATGAAACGTCACCGTAATGAAGACAATCAGGGATGCAGTCTAGTATTCACTTTAGAAGATGGTATATCGCTGGTTGTCGGCTTTTCAGCTGAAATGACACACATTCTTTGCTGTAATAAATTAGAAATCGTGTACTTTTACACTCAAAACACTATTATTGTATAAATGTTGAGTTCATTTCATTATTTCTCATGAAAGTCACACACAGTATTGTTTTCTTTTCAGAAATGATTTATCAAAGCTGATTTAACAAAATAAATATCAAAAATGCAAGAATACCCCGTTTCCAACACTAATAACCGTTTTTTGGCAATGGTACGGGGAAACGTTATCTAGCTGTGTTATTACTGATTGAAATGTCAACTAAAGTAAGGTTTCAACTAACATAGACAACACTCTTCTTGTTATGTGTTATTTGTACGAAGGAAAAATCAACGTTTATGACCAGCACACTGACATAATGGGAATAACCCGCTAAGGGGGAGTAATACCCCCCAAACCAAGGCATCACTCCACGAGTATAACCCGCTAAGGGGGAGTAATACCGCCCAAACTAAGGCATCCCTCCACGAGTATAACCCGCTAAGGGGGAGTAATCCCCCCACACCAAGGCATCACTCCACGAGTATACCCCGCTAAGGGGGAGTAATACCGCCCAAACCACGGCATCACTCAACGAGTATAACCCGCTAAGGGGGAGTAATACCGCCCAACCCAAGGCATCACTCCACGAGTATAACCCGCTAAGGGGAGTAATACCCCAAACTAAGGCATCACTCCACGAGTATAGCCCGCTAAGCGGGAGTAATACCCCAAACTAAGGCATCACTCCACGAGTAAAGCCCGCTAAGGGGGAGTAATACCGCCCAAACCAGGGCATCACTCCACGAGTATAACCCGCTAAGGGGGAGTAATCCCCCCACACCAAGGCATCACTCCACGAGTATACCCCGCTAAGGGGGAGTAATACCGCCCAAACCAGGGCATCACTCCACGAGTATAACCCGCTAAGGGGGAGTAATCCCCCCACACCAAGGCATCACTCCACGAGTATACCCCGCTAAGGGGGAGTAATACCGCCCAAACCAGGGCATCACTCCACGAGTATAACCCGCTAAGGGGGAGTAATCCCCCAAACTAAGGCATCACTCCACGAGTATAGCCCGCTAAGCGGGAGTAATACCCCAAACTAAGGCATCACTCCAAAAGTATAACCCGCTAAGGGGGAGTAATACCCCAAACTAAGGCATCACTCCACGAGTATAGCCCGCTAAGGGGGAGTAATACCCCCAAACTAAGGCATCACTCCACGAGTATAACCCGCTAAGGGGGAGTAATACCCCCAAACCAAGGCATCACTCCACGAGTATAACCCGCTAAGGGGGAGTAATACCGCCCAAACCAAGGCATCACTCCACGAGTATAACCCGCTAAGGGGGAGTAATACCGCCCAAACCAAGGCATCACTCCACGAGTATAACCCGCTAAGGGGGAGTAATACCGCCCAAACCAAGGCATCACTCCACGAGTATAACCCGCTAAGGGGGAGTAATACCGCCCAAACCAAGGCATCACTCCACGAGTATAACCCGCTAAGGGGGAGTAATACCGCCCAAACCAAGGCATCACTCCACGAGTATAACCCGCTAAGGGGGAGTAATACCGCCCAAACCAAGGCATCACTCCACGAGTATAACCCGCTAAGGGGGAGTAATACCGCCCAAACCAAGGCATCACTCCACGAGTATAACCCGCTAAGGGGGAGTAATACCGCCCAAACCAAGGCATCACTCCACGAGTATAACCCGCTAAGGGGGAGTAATACCGCCCAAACCAAGGCATCACTCCACGAGTATAACCCGCTAAGGGGGAGTAATACCGCCCAAACCAAGGCATCACTCCACGAGTATAACCCGCTAAGGGGGAGTAATACCGCCCAAACCAAGGCATCACTCCACGAGTATAACCCGCTAAGGGGGAGTAATACCGCCCAAACCAAGGCATCACTCCACGAGTATAACCCGCTAAGGGGGAGTAATACCGCCCAAACCAAGGCATCACTCCACGAGTATAACCCGCTAAGGGGGAGTAATACCGCCCAAACCAAGGCATCACTCCACGAGTATAACCCGCTAAGGGGGAGTAATACCGCCCAAACCAAGGCATCACTCCACGAGTATAACCCGCTAAGGGGGAGTAATACCGCCCAAACCAAGGCATCACTCCACGAGTATAACCCGCTAAGGGGGAGTAATACCGCCCAAACCAAGGCATCACTCCACGAGTATAACCCGCTAAGGGGGAGTAATACCGCCCAAACCAAGGCATCACTCCACGAGTATAACCCGCTAAGGGGGAGTAATACCGCCCAAACCAAGGCATCACTCCACGAGTATAACCCGCTAAGGGGGAGTAATACCGCCCAAACCAAGGCATCACTCCACGAGTATAACCCGCTAAGGGGGAGTAATACCGCCCAAACCAAGGCATCACTCCACGAGTATAACCCGCTAAGGGGGAGTAATACCGCCCAAACCAAGGCATCACTCCACGAGTATAACCCGCTAAGGGGGAGTAATACCGCCCAAACCAAGGCATCACTCCACGAGTATAACCCGCTAAGGGGGAGTAATACCGCCCAAACCAAGGCATCACTCCACGAGTATAACCCGCTAAGGGGGAGTAATACCGCCCAAACCAAGGCATCACTCCACGAGTATAACCCGCTAAGGGGGAGTAATACCGCCCAAACCAAGGCATCACTCCACGAGTATAACCCGCTAAGGGGGAGTAATACCGCCCAAACCAAGGCATCACTCCACGAGTATAACCCGCTAAGGGGGAGTAATACCGCCCAAACCAAGGCATCACTCCACGAGTATAACCCGCTAAGGGGGAGTAATACCGCCCAAACCAAGGCATCACTCCACGAGTATAACCCGCTAAGGGGGAGTAATACCGCCCAAACCAAGGCATCACTCCACGAGTATAACCCGCTAAGGGGGAGTAATACCGCCCAAACCAAGGCATCACTCCACGAGTATAACCCGCTAAGGGGGAGTAATACCGCCCAAACCAAGGCATCACTCCACGAGTATAACCCGCTAAGGGGGAGTAATACCGCCCAAACCAAGGCATCACTCCACGAGTATAACCCGCTAAGGGGGAGTAATACCGCCCAAACCAAGGCATCACTCCACGAGTATAACCCGCTAAGGGGGAGTAATACCGCCCAAACCAAGGCATCACTCCACGAGTATAACCCGCTAAGGGGGAGTAATACCGCCCAAACCAAGGCATCACTCCACGAGTATAACCCGCTAAGGGGGAGTAATACCGCCCAAACCAAGGCATCACTCCACGAGTATAACCCGCTAAGGGGGAGTAATACCGCCCAAACCAAGGCATCACTCCACGAGTATAACCCGCTAAGGGGGAGTAATACCGCCCAAACCAAGGCATCACTCCACGAGTATAACCCGCTAAGGGGGAGTAATACCGCCCAAACCAAGGCATCACTCCACGAGTATAACCCGCTAAGGGGGAGTAATACCGCCCAAACCAAGGCATCACTCCACGAGTATAACCCGCTAAGGGGGAGTAATACCGCCCAAACCAAGGCATCACTCCACGAGTATAACCCGCTAAGGGGGAGTAATACCGCCCAAACCAAGGCATCACTCCACGAGTATAACCCGCTAAGGGGGAGTAATACCGCCCAAACCAAGGCATCACTCCACGAGTATAACCCGCTAAGGGGGAGTAATACCGCCCAAACCAAGGCATCACTCCACGAGTATAACCCGCTAAGGGGGAGTAATACCGCCCAAACCAAGGCATCACTCCACGAGTATAACCCGCTAAGGGGGAGTAATACCGCCCAAACCAAGGCATCACTCCACGAGTATAACCCGCTAAGGGGGAGTAATACCGCCCAAACCAAGGCATCACTCCACGAGTATAACCCGCTAAGGGGGAGTAATACCGCCCAAACCAAGGCATCACTCCACGAGTATAACCCGCTAAGGGGGAGTAATACCGCCCAAACCAAGGCATCACTCCACGAGTATAACCCGCTAAGGGGGAGTAATACCGCCCAAACCAAGGCATCACTCCACGAGTATAACCCGCTAAGGGGGAGTAATACCGCCCAAACCAAGGCATCACTCCACGAGTATAACCCGCTAAGGGGGAGTAATACCGCCCAAACCAAGGCATCACTCCACGAGTATAACCCGCTAAGGGGGAGTAATACCGCCCAAACCAAGGCATCACTCCACGAGTATAACCCGCTAAGGGGGAGTAATACCGCCCAAACCAAGGCATCACTCCACGAGTATAACCCGCTAAGGGGGAGTAATACCGCCCAAACCAAGGCATCACTCCACGAGTATAACCCGCTAAGGGGGAGTAATACCGCCCAAACCAAGGCATCACTCCACGAGTATAACCCGCTAAGGGGGAGTAATACCGCCCAAACTAAGGTATCACTCCACGAGTATAACCCGCTAAGGGGGAGCAATACCGCCCAAACAACGGCATCACTCCACGAATATAACCGCTAAGGGGGAGTAATACCCCCAAACCACGGCATCACTCCACGAGAATAACCCGCTAAGGGGGAGTAATACCGCCCAAACCAAGGCATCACTCCACGAGTATAGCCTCTTAAGGGGGAGTAATACCCCCAAACCAAGGTATCACTCCACGAGTATAGCCCGCTAAGGGGGAGTTATACCGCCCAAACCACGGCATCACTTCACGAGTATAACCCGCTAAGGGGGAGTAATACCGCCCAAACCTAGGCATCACTCCACGAGTATAGCCCGCTAAGGGGGAGTAATACCCCCCAAACCTAGGCATCACTCCACGAGTATAACCCGCTAAAGGGGAGTAATACCGCCCAAACCACGGCATCACTCCACGAGTATAACCCGCTAAGGGGGAGTAATACCGCCCAAACCTAGGCATCCCTCCACGGGTATAGCCCGCTAAGGGGGAGTAATACCGCCCAAACCGAGGCATCACCCCACGAGTATAGCCCGCTAAGGGGGAGTAATACCCCCCAAACCTAGGCATCACTCCACGAGTATAACCCGCTGAAGGGGAGTAATACCGCCCAAACCACGGCATCGCTCCACGAGTATAACCCGCTAAGGGGGAGCAATAGCGCCCAAACCAAGGCAGCACTCCACGAGTATAACCCGCTAAGGGGGAGTAAATCCCCCAAACCACGGCATCACTCCACGAGTATAGCCCGGTAAGGGGGAGTAATACCGCCCAAACCTAGGCATCCCTCCACGAGTATAGCCCGCTAAGGGGGAGTAATACCGCCCAAACCTAGGCATCACTCCACGGGTATAGCCCGCTAAGGGGGAGTAATACCCCCAAACCACGGCATCACTCCACGAGTATAGCCCGCTAAGGGGGAGTAAATCCCCCAAACCACGGCATCACTCCACGAGTATAGCCCGGTAAGGGGGAGTAATACCGCCCAAACCTAGGCATCACTCCACGGGTATAGCCCGCTAAGGGGGAGTAATACCCCCCAAACTAGGCATCACTCCACGAGTATAACCCGCTAAGGGGGAGTAATACCGCCCAAACCAAGGCATCACTCCACGAGTGTTACGTTGTGATTCCATCACCGATGGCCAACGAAGTTTTCAACACTGAAGTTTCATTCGAAAATAAATAATGCTGAGGTGTTATTGCTGATATGTATTCATAAGACATATTTAAAATAGTAAAATACAAATCGAATTTCCAATTAACTTCCCTCCAGGTTTAATACAAAAATCAAATTCAACACCAACTTTTGAAAAAGAAGCAGGTGATATGTTTACCAGAGATGAATGATATTCGTCGGTGTTTTGGAGAAACTATTCTCCACTTAAAATTTTGTATTTGAAAGTTTTGTAAATTACGAGTCTCTGGCAACGTAAAGAAAAGTTTCAGATCATGGTAGCCCGAGTTCTCTCTGGCCCTGACAACAGACTTAGATAATTTGACAGATAGATATCTGGTACAGCCCAATGTCAAAGTCTGGCGTTACGGCGAGAGGAAACTCGGGTTAAGATTATGATAGAACCTGAGATCGATGCAGATAGACACACATCTTCAAAATTCCTGTACTACTTAAAATAAATCTGTGGTAACGGGTCAACACGTGCCATGTAAACACTAGGCGCAGTGAATGATCTGTGGTAACGGGTCAACACGTACCATGTAACCAGTAGGCGCAGTGAATAAACTGTAGGCCATCCTGTCGTCGAATCTTAAATTCACCAATAGGAAAATAATACGTCATTACATCAATTAGAAACCTCACAAGAATTCTTATCAAAACTTCATTCCTGGCTCTGCCAGCTGCTCAAATGTTCACTGCTTTTCCTAGTGCCATTCCCAAGAAATTTGAACGGCGATATGAATATATTCTGTGAAATATGCCACAAAGGCTAAAATGAAATATTCTGACGATGATTCGTGAGAATTGTTGAGTTTCTGGTTAACAATATCTTTGTTGAGTTAAGTGGCAAGATTTTTTAGCTGACTCCATACGAGGTTAAATGTATTGAAGAGTTTACAAAGTCCTCGCCACGTCCTTCAGTGTCACTTTCTAACTCCTTGACCATACAATGGCGCAGTTGATTCGGTAGAGCTGGTAATCATGATCTCGCGACAGATGTGGACTGCTGACGGACAACGTACAACACGGGGTTTCCAAAGATTAAGGTTGATGAAGAATATGAACAACTTCCATGGTCATAATTATTATCTCTAATTGAGAAATGTGAAATTTCCTTCAGTGATACTAAGTATGAATCTTATTATTGTGCTTTTCCCAGGGGCTCGATGTAACTCTTTCCTGTATTCTTTGAGTTCCGATTCCGGTTTTATTCGTATTTATTTTTGTTTTGTTTTTATAACGCATAGGCAAAATAGGAACTTAACTTGATGTTAAAGACAAAACGAACGGATGAAACATTTTAAAGGAAGCAAATGACAAAACAAAGGAAGTGAAATCAAGAGAGGTTAGCGCATCGTAATTTGTGTTAAAACCGATGGAAACATTGAAATATCATCAAACTGCTTTTGCTAAGAAATTTGGTACAAAAGTGACTCGTCTCTCATGGCTACAACTGACAGTTAATATTAGATAACGTTTATCTTAACTGTAACTCTCGGCTTTCTGATACAATTTGAACGCAACAGAAACTAAGGTTGAATTCCTTCCCAAGAAGACGCCAACGTGCCCATGTAAGACGGTAGGACACATTCGGGTTCCTCCTCCCCACTCCAGCCTCATTTAACCCTGAATATATCTTTTATACATAACTAGCATATGATACAGAACTACTTGCGGAAAGTCGAGGAGTTTGCGTCACTGTGTCGCACGATCGTCGTTCGAATATACTTTTTTTATTATGTGCGAGTGTGTTATCATCCTCGATACTCCAGGGGTTACGCTCTCTACACCCCTGGAATATGTCCTAGGAAAATTGAAGGCTCAGTGTGCACCACCTTGTTGGTGAAACAAGAAGACTATAGTTCGATCCTTTGATGTACATAAAAAGAATCTCGCGGTCGCGTAACGGTAAAAACGACAGGTTTTGAAGTAGTTTCTCTCCTTTGTAATCTTCAAAAGACATGCATCAGTCTGGCTATTGGTCAGGTTTGTTCATCCGAAACCAATTCATTATCTAGCCGCGTGCCTTCTCTTTTGCTATAACATATTCCAGGGGTGCAGTTTGTTTGTGTGTTTGTGTTTAACGGTCCATCAACAGCTGTGGTCATTTAGGACCATGGCGATTTTTTTTGATTTTTTGATTTTTTTAACAAACATGTGAGTAGCGAAGATAAAAAGGTTCAATTTAAAAGCATTCGCATTGTATACGTGTGTCAATAATTAAAATAAACAAGAGGCCCATGGGCCTTAACGGTCACCTGAGTCCTACAGTATTTATTTTTGTTGTTGAAATATGTACCAATTTGAGTAAAAAAATGTTAAGTATAACGTTAACTTAACTTTGTCAGGACCATGATCTGATCATTCCTAGACCGATTTTCAGTTAGATCGGCCTATTAGAACTTGTTTTTAAGTTTGAAATAGGTATTTTCAAAATAGTGGCCATGGCAGCCAAATTGTATTTCTGATCGACCCGAAAAATAACAAAACTTTGTCAGGACCACGAGTCGATCATTCCTACAATGTTTCAGTTCAATCAGCCAAGTAGAGCTTGACTTTAAATGACGAAAAATAACAACACTTTGTCAGGACCGTGAGTCGATCATTCCTACAAAGTTTCAGTTCAATCGGCCTAGCAGAACTTGACTTTAAGTTTGAAATAGTTTGTCAAAATGACGGCTGTGGCGGACATATTGGAGTTTTGATCGACCCGAAAAATAACAACACTTTGTCAGGACCGTGAGTCGATCATTCCTACAAAGTTTCAGTTCAATCGGCCTAGCAGAACTTGACTTTAAGTTTGAAATAGTTTGTCAAAATGACGGCTGTGGCGGACATATTGGAGTTTTGATCGACCCGAAAAATAACAACACTTTGTCAGGACCATGAGTCGATCATTCCAACCAACTTTCAGTTTAATCGGCCCAGCAGAACTTTAAGTTTGAAATAGTTTTTCAAAATGGCGGTCGTGGCGGGCATTTTGGATTTCTTATCGACCCGAAAAATAACAACACTTGGTCAGGGAGATGTCAGTAACCTTCCCATGAAATACTATTGAAACCCTTTGCCAGAATTTCAGCTTAAGTTGAAAATGTAAAATGTTAACGGACGACGGACGATGGTCGACGGACGACGGACGACGACGGACGAAGACAGATAGCAATATGTCACTTGAGCTAAAACGGGTAAGGTGGGTTAAAAGACATCAGAGTCTATAGAATAGACCGATGTCTTTCAAATAGTTAAATAATGCCTTAGAGTCCACGGTACTGAAAAGAGTTTTCATATCCGGGACTCGAAAGTAGTGATCATGAATGTGTTTATAATCGGAATATTCTATTGTTCCACTGTAAATGGAGTGTCACATTCGTGGCATGGAGGTGGATCTTCTCGTTTTAAAAGGTACGAATGAGTAGGATATATGTGCCCAGAACGGAGCCGATCTACGATCTTTCCGACTTGGAATGGATGTTTTAAGTTTCGGTTGTACTTTAAAAAGTTTGTTGCTGGTCCCCAGTGACAGTGAGCGTTACCCATCGATATCGAAGATGCGGCTGGCTGTAAACACACAATCAACAGTGTACGTATTCTCTCCAACTGTAATCAACGCTCCAACACCGAAAAATGAAAAGAATCGGTACACTGTTCCGTCGTGTATTTGGTAGTGATCAAAGTAATCATGTCGCCCGCATCTTTTCTATTCCATGCATCAGAACATATCAAATCTATATTTCACCACTCTGTTGCATTTTGTGGGAAATTGATTGCCTGTCGTACTCCACTCAATGATAACAGAGGCGACTATAGTGATTCCCTTGTGGTATTTGATTCATGTTCTGCTATCGGAACACCGTGACCACAAATAGTCCAGTGCCC